TCCCACCGAGGATATAAACGGGTCGAAAGACCAAATTACAAGGGCAAGGGCAAACAAAAAGCCCATCAAATAAATCGCCCTCCAAAATCCTCGGGAAAGTCGACTTGTTATAAATGTGGCATGACGGGGCATTGGGCTAATAAATGTCGCACGGCTAAACATCTGGTGGAGTTATTTCAAGCTTCCATGAATCTGAACAAAGGCAAAAATGTGGAAGCTAATTATGTTAATGACACAACTCCACCTCTGCCAAAATTTGACGTGTCCGACTTCTTTGTGGATGATGCCATTATGGACGTTGCGTTTGCCATAAACCAAAATGTCACAAAATAGGATATTCGACTTCTTATGTTGTAAAATATTAGTTTTATGTACTTTTTCTTTGTTCCCCTTTTATTTTGTTTTTAAATAAATGTGTGTAATAAATGTACTTTTATGTTAAATAATATGCATAATTTGTGATATCTACATATCAAACTTATGTTTATTTGTATATATTGAAGATATGGATCACTCAAATGATAAAGAGCTATGTCTGATAGACAGCGCCACAACGCACACCATTTTGAGAAATAAAATATATTTTTCTCAAATGACTTTAGTTGAAGCTAAAGTCAATACAATATCAGGTGTTGCGAAGCTCATTGAAGGCTCTGGGAAAGCATATGTGATTCTCCCTAACGGGACAAAAATAATTATAAATGACGCTTTATACTCCAGCAAATCACGGAGAAATTTATTAAGTTTTAAAAACATGCGTCAAAATGGTTATCACATATAAACCATGAATGAAAACCAAAAGGAATATCTTTGTCTTACGACAACTAAATCTGGCACTAAATATATTTGTGAAAAAATGCCAGCTTATTCCTCGGGACTATATTTCACTCATATTAGTCCATTTGAAATAAATTTGGTTTCTAACACAAAGTTAGATGATCAGAAAACATTCATGTTGTGGCATGACCGTTTAGGTCACCCAGGCCAAGTAATGATGCATAAAATCATTAAGACTTCACTTGGACACCCATTAAAGAATATCAGGGTTCCATTATCAAGTGATTTTCCTTGTAAGGCCTGTTCTCTTGGCAAAATGCATCAGGCCTTCTAAGAGCAAAATTGGAATTGAATCACCTGCATTTTTAGAAAGGATTCAAGGAGATATTTGTGGGCCGATTGCCCCTCCATGTGGACCATTTCGATATTTTATGGTGTTGATTGATGCTTCAACACGTTGGTCACATGTTAGTCTTTTATCGACCAGAAATTTAGCATTTGCTAAACTCCTTGCTCAAATTATACGATTAAGAGCTCATTTTCCGGATCATTCTATAAAGAGAATCCGACTTGACAATGCAGGAGAATTTACATCCCAAACATTCAACGACTATTGTATGTCGATTGGGATTGATGTGGAACACTCTGTTGCTCATGTCCATACACAAAATGGTCTTGCTGAATCTTTAATTAAACGATTACAATTAATCGCTAGACCATTATTAATGAAGTGTAATTTACCTTCATCAGCTTGGGGACATGCTATTTTGCATGCAGCAAATTTAATTCGGCTTAGACCAACTGCATATCATGAATATTCCCCAATGCAATTAGTTACTGGACAAGAGCCAAACTTAGCATCCATAAAAATATTTGGTTGTGCTGTTTATGTTCCGATTGCTCCACCTCATCGTACAAAAATGGGTCCTCAAAGAAGGTTGGGAATTTATGTTGGATTTGAATCTCCCTCAATAATAAAATATCTTAAACCGATGACTGGTGACTTATTCACTGCACGGTTCGCTGACTGTCATTTCAATGAGACAGTATTCCCAACCTTTGGGGGAGAAACTAATAAATCAGACCCAAGTACGAAAGAAATAACATGGAATGCAACAGGATTATCACACCTTGACTCTAGATCAAATATATGTGAGCAAGAGGTGCAAAAGATAATCTATTTACAAAATGTTGCAAATCAATTGCCTGATGCATTCACAGATACAAAGAAAGTGACAAAGTCGCATATTCCTGCTATGAATGCCCCTGCCAGAATCGAAATTCCAGCAGAGAATTCTGAAAAATCTCTTGCAAATGATTCTTCTATACGCAAAAAGTGTGGCAGGCCACTTGGATCAAAAGACATAAAACCAAGAAAAACTAAAAAGCAGGAATTGATCTGTGATGCCAAAGATGTTCATCCTTCTGAACAAGAAAATGAACAATTTGAAAATACTGGCATAGAAAATGATATTGACAAAACAAACATCTCAAATGACGATCCAACTTTCTTAAATGAGGAAGATATTGCAGATAATGATAGAAATGTAGATAATTACGAAATTTCAATAAACTACGTTTCTACTGGAATGCAATGGAATCGAAAAGATATTGATATTAATGAGATATTTGTCTATGCTGTTGCCACGAATGTAATGAACGAAAACAATGACAATGAGCCAACATCAATTGAAGAATGTCGGAAACGACAAGATTGGCCAAAATGGAATGAAGCTATTCAGGCTGAATTAAAATCGCTTGAAAAACGTGATGTTTTTGGACCGATAGTCCCTACGCCAAAAGGCGTAAAACCTGTGGGTTTTAAATGGGTATTTGTGCGTAAACGCAATGAGAAAAATGAAATTGTTAGATATAAAGGCCGACTTGTTGCCCAAGGTTTTTCTCAAATGCCGGGAATCGATTATGAAGAAACCTATTCTCCAGTAGTTGATGCAACTACGTTAAGGTTTCTTATTGGCATGTCTGTTTTTGAAAGGCTGCAAATGCGCCTAATGGATGTAGTAACCGCCTATCTATACGGTTCACTCGATACAGACATTTATATGAAAGTTCCCGGAGGATTTAAAATGCCTGATGCTTATAGCTCGAAACCTCGAGACATGTTTTCCATTAAATTACATAAGTCATTGTATGGACTAAAACAATCTGGACGAATGTGGTATAATCGTCTTAGTGAATACCTTCTCAAAGAAGGATATAAGAATGATCCAATTAGTCCATGTGTTTTCATTCGGCGATCAAATTCGGGATTCGCCATAATTGCAGTATATGTTGATGACTTAAACATTATTGGAACTCCCGATGAAATTGAAAATACTGCAAAATATCTTATGAAAGAATTTGAAATGAAAGATCTCGGGAGAACCAAATTTTGTCTCGGACTTCAAATTGAGCATTTGAAGAATGGAATTTTCATCCACCAATCCAATTACACCGAGAAAGTGTTGAAGAGATTCTATATGGACAAAGCTCATCCTTTGACTTCACCAATGGTCGTTAGATCTCTCAACATACATGATGATCCATTCCGTCCGCGAGAAGACGACGAAGAAATTCTCGGTCCCGAAATACCATATCTGAGTGCTATTGGAGCTTTAATGTATTTAGCTAACAATACTAGACCAGATATTGCATTTTCTGTAAATTTATTAGCTAGGTACAGCTCATGCCCAACAAGATGTCATTGGAACGGGATCAAGCACATATTCCGCTATCTACGTGGTACAGTTGATCTCGGCTTATTCTACCACAAAGATGCAAAAGCTGCTTTAATCGGATATGCAGACGCTGGATACTTATCAGATCCTCAAAAGGCGAAATCACAAACCGGGTACGTATTTACTTATGGTAACACCGCAATCTCATGGAGATCTATGAAGCAGACATTGACAGCTACATCATCAAATCATTCGGAGTTAATTGCATTATATGAAACCGGAAGAGAATGTGTGTGGCTGCGATCTATGATTCAACACATTCAAAATGAATGCGGTATGAAGCCTATTACTTGTCACCCGACTGTGATCTACGAAGACAACACTGCGTGCATAACTCAGATTAAAGAAGGCTACATCAAAGGTGACAGAACAAAACACATATCACCAAAATTCTTCTCTACTCATGATCTGGAGAAAGAAGGGACAATCAACATTCAACAAATCCGATCCAGTGAAAATCCAGCCGATCTCTTCACCAAATCTTTACCCCCGAAAAAGTTCATGGAACTTGTACAGAAAATCGGCATGCAACGTCTTCATAATTTATACTAAATTCAGGGGGAGTATTTGAATGCACTGCACTCTTTTTCCCTTCATCAGGTTTTTATCCCACTGGGTTTTTCCTGATAAGGTTTTTAACGAGACAGTACATCCAAATACAATGACATTATAAGTCGTAATTTTTACCCCTTAATTTCACAACAAGTTTTTAAATAACAAATAACTATTCAAGGATGAACATTCAAGGGGGAGTGTTGTAAATTCCTGAGAATGACAAGTGTGAATTGTTCATCCTTGTCATCAGGACACTAATCCAATTTCCATCCTTGTAATAAACAGATGGCTAGGTTTAATGTTGCCAGCATATTATGTAGAATGATTCTTTGATGATTCATCACCAAGCTCCATCAATATAAATAGGGGTTTGGTGATGCCTTGTAAATGTACTTAGAAACTCAGAAATTATCAGTTATATTAAGAAGAAGTGATTTAGAGGTTTTTTATCAATATATCTATCTTTCAAGTTTGGTGTTCATCATCTTCATTTCACAATATAAGAGATAACTATGCATGCATTAAGATGGTGACATTTAATTTTATTTTTGCGTTATTAATTAATGCGCATTATTTGCATAATTGCATGCACTGTCTCAAAATTAGACCAGATAATATTGGTATTATTCTATGCATCAATGAACCCCATTCCAGCACACCCCATACTCCATTGCCAATTGCAGTATAATAGTTTGAGTGGGATGGACAGCCAATCATAGATCGAAGAAGAGATTCCTTCCGTTGAATAAAAAAAACCGAATAGGAGAAAAAAAGAAGCCTTAGAATATTCTCGGATTATCCTCATCTATGCATATCCTTTTGCAATTCGGCATATTCCCATTGCAAAAAAAAAAAAAAAAAACTTAAACGAAAAATCTGCACTGTATATTAATTACTACTCTGTGTTAGTGTGTTATATTCTCCTGAATGAATGAACTTTAATTAATTAATCCCCTTCCACCCAAATTATACCGTCTTTGTCTTTTTCCATCTGTGTTTATTATTAAACACCTAGATTAAAAGATTTACCCTTTAATGATCTTTCTCCCTGGCCCTTATATATACCCAAGAACAGATTTCTGGGGAAATTCCATACGTTCCTTCCTCTACTTGTCCATCCACCATTCAATCCAGAAAAAGCCTAATATAATTTATTATCGTGTGAATATTTATTCACATTTATATTTTCCGTTTCTGTTTTTGCATTTGACAGAGCCATGGCCAGGTTCTTGAAGGTTTCCATGGTTCTGTGCCTTTTCTGGTCGTTGACCGCCATGGCAGAGCTTCAGACATTTTCTCACCCCCCAAAGGGTGATGGGGGTCTGAGTTTTTTGGTAGTTGGTGATTGGGGAAGAAAGGGTGATTATAATCAGTCCAGAGTTGCCTCTCAGGTTTGTCAGTTTTCTGGAAAATTAAACCATGCATTGTTATGAATTTAAGAAAATTAATTTTGAGGTTAAGAAAAGTTCTGATTTTTTTGGGTGTTTGGGCGCAGATGGGGAGAATTGGAGAGAAATTGGACGTTGATTTTGTTGTATCAACGGGTGACAATTTTTATGACAATGGGTTGACAGGGAAACATGACCAGGCTTTTGCAGAATCTTTCACCAATATTTATACTGCAAAAAGCTTGCAGAAACAATGGTATTCTGGTATGTATATACTCCTATATGATGATCCTTGAAGAAAATAAACCTTTTTTCCCCATTTTCTTTCTTTTCTTAATCATGAAATTAATGGTAACAAGGTGAAATAATTTGCAGTATTAGGAAACCATGATTACAGGGGAGATGCAGAGGCTCAATTGAGCCCTTACCTTGAGAAAATTGATAGCAGATGGCTGTGTTTAAGGTCATTTATTGTGAATGCAGGTGAGTTTTTCCCCCTTTTCCTTTTCTTGTTATTACTAAACAATAAATTCGAAATGTATTAATGATGTATTAAGTATGCTATAATCACGTTTATTTTCCTTTTATTCCCAGAAATTGCCGAGTTATTTTTTGTGGATACAACTCCATTTGTGGATGAATACTTTACCTCCCCAGAGGAGCATACATATGACTGGCGTGGTGTAAACCCCAGGCAGACTTACCTCACCAATTTACTAAAAGTAAATATTCCCAGTTGTTTAAATATACAGATAGAAATCAACATATGAATGTATACATAAAAAAGTTTAGGAAACAGAAAATCATGTTGATGTTACTAATTAAGGTAAGTTATTAATGATTTCTTAAGGATGTTGAATCGGCATTGATGAAATCCACTGCAACATGGAAGATAGTTATCGGTCATCACGCGATAAGAAGTGTTGGGCATCACGGCGATACAAATGAGCTTATTGATCGCCTTCTTCCTCTTCTTCGGGTAAGCTAATGATGTCCAAAGTTCTAATTCATTTTCATTGTTGTCGAAGAATTTGTTGATATAATGATATCGGTTACATATGAAATAACAATCTCGTATGGAAACCTCGAGTCTTAATACTTATGCATGTTCCTAGTCGATCTCCCCTGTTCCCAATTTTAAAGTTAAGTCTGAATCAATGTTATTTTATCATATTTGCATTTGTCGTGTAGTTTCATATACGAGTATAATCTATTAAATTTGAATTATTAATACTAATTTAAATATTTTCGTGTTTGATTATGAAAAACAGACTTATAACGTTGATCTGTATATGAATGGCCACGACCATTGTCTCGAGCACATTGCTGATGATGAAAGGTGAGCGTTTAAACGTTTTTATGATGCACAATTATTGTTGCAAACTTTATGTGTGGTGTTTTGTAACGGCTCATAGTCATACACGCAAAGTCACGCTATTGATCCGATCAGATCTGACTAGATTTGTGGTTATCTTTAATCAGTCTTTAATATTTCTTTCGTGTGATCGGTTACAGCCCGATCCAATTCATGACCAGCGGGGCGGGATCGAAGGCATGGAGGGGAGATGTGAAAGGAATGAACAAGGCGGGGTTGGCATTCTTCTATGATGGACAAGGATTCATGTCTGTGCAATTGATGAAGAGTGATTTAGAGATTGTGTTCTATGATGTTTTTGGTCAGGCTTTACATAGATGGTCCATGTCCAAACAATTGCTGCACAACTCTATATAGCTTTAATTATCTAGGCCATTATAATTTGTAGGCTTTGTATTTTTCTTTCATTATGCTGTTTTCTTTACTTATTTAGAATAGATAGATTGGGCGAGTATTTGTAAGTCTTTAGACATTTATAGTTTTTGTACATATCATTGAGCCAATTAAGAAGCTGAAGTAGCTGGCATAGGCATCGGCTAGCTAGATTAATGTAATGTATAATTTAGTTTCTTTTGTGTAGATTTTTTCACCAATAGCCTTTTCAATGAAGTCATTTTACTATATAGATTAAATTTTCAACTTGCTTAAGTAAAAGAATTTGATCTCATACTAATGAAACATCCTTACATTAAAAATATCAGACTAGTAAATTACAGTTTCAATAAAAACATCCTTAGATTTTGCTCTCATGGATGACACTTCATTTCTGAGTGCCCAAAACCGACTAGACAATTATCTGAGAAGATGTAAATTAACCTTTGATCTCACATAAATGAATAGAGTCTCACTACATACCAAGTCTTTGCTAAGAGTTGGACTAAATCTCTTCCTCGTACCACTCCTTTCCTACTAGGTTAGGCTCTCACGAGTCTCATCTTATTTGAATGAGTTAAGCTAGAGTCACCCCATTTTGTACTCCAATTTGTAACTCACCTTATATTTGTGGCTCATAAAAGCCCACTTCAATAAATAAATTGTTCTATTTCAATGAGCTGCTTTTGCGAGTCATAAACATAGGGTGATGGTACAAATTGAGATATAAATTGTGGTGACTTTAGCATTAATATATTTGAATAGCTCTAAACATGAACATTCATCTTTTTAGAAATATATGATCAAAATTATAACCCTCTAATATCACCCAAGGTATAAATGTGTCACAATAAGATAGTCATTACTCGAACCACTATAAGAGCTAGTGGTTGAAATTCAATTAATGTCTACACTTTTGACTCAAACAACACCATTTTAATATTTATCTTATATATTGTTGAGGTTTATTCGTTCAACCCTCGGGTCCAACACATAAGCCCAAGGATTTCGAGTGGAGTGTGTATGAATATCTAGCCCAACTAGCAAGTGATGTGGATCAAGGAGAACAGTAAGTAGCAAATAAATGATTAGGTATTATTATCTGTTAATAACTCCCTAATACAATACCCTCACTAAGGCTCGTCGGCCGTTCGTCTTACAAGGCAGTGGAAGTGCTGCGAGTAAGAATGCTATAGCTAGAATGCTAAGAATAGAAAGTTGTCAACCCTTTACAATGAAATAAATGCTTCTATTTATACCCACCAATGAGCAGTTGGCTATACTGACGTGGAAGTCTGTGGTTCGTTGATGCCTCAACCACCAAATCTTCATCATTAAATGCACTTCCCGCCAGAATCTAGGTTTCCCGCCTAATTAGTGGGGACGTTCGTCCGTTCGGGAAGAGCTGCTCCAGGTGGCCTCCAGGGGGTATTGGCCGTTCGTCCCCTGGCCCTTGTGGATTCTCGCCATGTGGTCTGGACTGCCTCCGATGGCTATGGGCTTGCTCTGACGACGTTCGTCGTCATTCTGGTGGCCTGTGGTTCTGCTCCTTGTTTCTGCATAGACGTTCGTCGAGATGGGCCGTTGAGCCTGAACCCCATCTGCAGACGTTCGTCCATCCTAGAGAGGATGGGCTTGCCAGGCTAGCCTAGTGGTCTATCTGGACGTACGTCCGGAAGAAGGAGTAAATGGTCCGAACCTCGATTTGGGCCATTAACCCAACATATATATATATATATATATATATATATATATATATATATATATATATATATATATATATATATATATATATATATAATGAATTTGATGAGATTTGTCATCAATATGCACGAGTTTTTGCCATGGATCTGTGCTTATTTTGTTGTGATAAAAGAATGTTGGCACGAACTTGATCGATAATAGTACATGAACCGTGTGAAAGTCATTTTGTCACAAAATTAGCACGGGGCATGACAAATATCTATAACAACTCGGATTAAAATTAGTGTCAAAATTTAAACGAAAGGTAAAAAATCTTAAATGAAAAGAAGAGAACACGATGAATGAATACAAAGTGAAAACAACGTCATTTATGATTTGTATGAATTTAAACATGTTCTCAAGAATAAAAACTTTGGGCCATATAAGGACGAAGGAATCACACTGAGACCGTGATCCCAAACGAGAAAATTACTAAGTCACAAATGGAAAGAGGACATTTGAGAAAAATATAAATGAAACAATGATAGATAAAAGATGTATAACTACAACGAAGCTATTATTAGTGACTTTTTATAATTTACTGAGAACTTTAGTAAATAATATTGTGTATAAACTTACACCTAAGTGACCATTAACTATGACATAATAACTTTAGTCACATTTTACCTCTACATTTTATTACAGTAATACTTTACACATGCTCAAAACGATGAGGTGTATGGAATATATGACTTTAAAAACGATTTAAAAACCATGTACTTTTTAAAAAGATTAAAAAGGTTTTCCTCGAAGTAAAACATTGAATTCTAAAATATGACTAAATAATGTCAAATTTGAAAAATATAAGTATGTTTAAAATCTTATAATGTTGAAGCACGATAATACTTACTTCTATTTAGAGAAAAAAATACGGAGTATAATATTTCTATTTCAAAACATACCCGTGTTTGTAGTTTTACCCATTGAGAATTTCTTATTATAAAACTATCTATTTCGGGCTTAAGCTCTTATTTAGAAGTAGTCAAATAGTGAGCCCGTTTGGTAGCATGAAAATCGGTTTCTGCTGAAATTTATGAAATTCTTGCTGATTCAGCTGATTTAAGAAAAAATTATTTTTAAAATATATTTTATTAATAAAGTAAATAAAAAATTATATGTAAAAATAACTAAAATGGTCATCTACCGTAACTTTAGCCAAAACAGCCAGAAAAGTAACTCCAATTATTTCTGTTTATTATACAAATTCAACACGCGAAAACAAAAATTACGTGTTTGATGAAAAAAATTGGTTAATAAATCTGATATCCAAAGTTGGTTAATAAATCTGATATCCAAAGTTGGTTAATAAATCTAATAGGCACTTTTGTAATTTCCGATTCTTCCCCAATTGTGCATTTATGGATGCTAAATACCCACTGACCCACATCCTTTTGGTTATACTTGAAATAAAAACTTCGGAATGCAGTTAATCAGCAATCCTTGCGCCGAAACCTGAAGTGTTAAACAAAATCCTCGCCGGAACGGAAACCTGCCCTCAGTTGCGAGCTGCTAGGAAGAGATACTGATTTGTCATGCTGATTGCTGAGCGGGGTTGAGCGAAAAAAAAAACGATCTTTTAGTATAATTTGCTAAAGCTTTCATTTAATTGTCTACTATTCACCAGAAATTCCTGCAGAGAGCATAATCTGAGAGCTTCCATCGGTACTCAACTAGAATGGCGGATGAAAGTGCGGGTTCTTATAAGAGAGACCCCATCAAATCCTCAGGCAATGCTTTACCCAGAACTTCAATTCTTTAGCCATAAATTACATAGCTTTCTTTCAAATTTGCGAGAATTTCGTCAACAACTGTTAATGTGATGCTGTATAGTCCACGTCGATGCTGCGGTTTTTTTCATATAAACTTTTTAAAGCTTTCTGTTTGCTTATGCGTATATATGAACTATAAACACTGCATATGTATGGTATTTGGGGCGTCTTCAAGGTCGTATTAAAATTTCAAAATATTATATCAATAAATCCTAGTGACTAGAATATGACATTGAATTTGTGGTCAGAAATGGTAGTTATGCAATATTAAGGGTTGACTGAGGGTTGGAAATGTGCAGGAACTGATATTTAATGCATTATTGAATAAGAATGCTAGCAAAAACCAGGCTAGATTCTAGCTATTTAGCATGGCTTAGTTTATAATTCTTTTCAAAACATAGTTTCTTTATTTATTGAATGATAAAAATGCTAGAAGGCCGGGTTTGCTTTATATGTATGTTACAAGACATGGCATATTGATGTTTGTGTGGTGTTGCCAGTTGGGAATGTGGCTGCACAAAGAAGACGGGATAATGCGGTTACAGTGGGTAAAGAAAGAAGAGAGGCGCTGATGAGAACGAAGCGCCTTTGCAGAGTAGGAGTTATTGGTGATGATTCTGATATGATGATTGATGAAGAACAATCTATTCTGGAGGCTCAGACTTCATCTTCTGTTGAACAATTGAAGCTTGCTGTTTCCCACCAGTATGCTATCCTTAGTTTAGTTTTATTGTTATTATTTACTACCCATATGTGTTATTTGAGTGTGGAAAACTAAGAGACTGTCTATCTTTAATTTGACTTATAAGGGGGAAAGGCGCTGTGCAGAAAAGAGTAAATGCTCTTCGAGAGCTAAGACGTCTACTGTCTAAGTCTGAATATCCTCCAGTTGAAGCTGCACTTGAGGCTGGAGCTATGCCTCTCCTTGTCAATTGTCTTTCATTTGGGTCTCCAGATGAACAGGTTATGTGGCATTATGATCCTGGGACTCTGGGAGGAAAATAGAGTGGAGGCTAAGGGTTTAATTGGACATGTATCATCTTTATTGTCATTAAGACCTCGTTTGGTTACACAAATAGAGGAGGGAGAGGGATGAAAGTGGATGTGATTAAAAAAAATATGTTTGGTTCAATGGAGGGATGCTGCCAAGGATTTAATAATTATGGAAAATGGAAAAAAAATTGCATTCTATTGAATTTTTGTTGTAACTAGAAGGTATATTGATCTACATGTATCACAATGATATTGTGTAATAACATTTTTGGTAAAACTAAAGGTGAAAGAATTTAAAAAAAGTCTCTCAAAGTAATGGGCTCAGATATTTGGAGGGGTTAGAGTTCTCCCACTTTCATCCCTAAACACACCACTCCACTTTTTACCCATCCCCTTCATAATAGTCCTACCAAACTAGTGCTGATTTTTGTTTAATTAAATCTCAAACCTGATTCTTGTGGTTTACCCTCTTTTTTGTATGATGGGTTTATAGTTGCTGGAAGCAGCTTGGTGCCTTACAAATATAGCAGCTGGAAGACCCGATGAAACAAAGGCTTTGTTGCCTGCACTACCTTTGCTTATTGCACATCTAGGAGGTTTGTTGTCAGCTTTTTCTCCATATTGGGTTGTTTACCCTTGTGGGTAATTCTCCATCTCGCTCATCTAGTAGCTTATAATCTCTTTTTCCCGTAATATTTGCAGAAAAGAGTTCACTGACTGTTGCTGAGCAATGTGCATGGGCACTAGGAAATGTTGCTGGGGAAGGGGAGGAACTAAGAGATGTTCTCCTGTCACAAGGAGCCTTACCTCCTTTGGCAAGAATGATGTTTCCAAACAAAGGATCAACTGTCACTACTGCTGCTTGGGCATTGTCAAACCTGATTAAGGTATTATTGATAGTGGATTTAAGTCGCTCTTGTTTTCAGGACCAATGTTCTAAAAGCAGCATCCACTTAAGGGTCTGTTTGGGTGGAGGGGAAGGTCTGTTAGGGTGTTTTTGGTAGGAGGACTGTGAAGGAGAGGGAAGGGGGAGGATCCATCTTTGTTTGACTAATTGATCTGAAATGATCAGTATTAAACTAAAAAACAAGGTCGGAGTATATGTTTATTGTGTAGTTAAATAATGCACCTCTGCATAATTTTTTATTTTCACCTTTTTCTAACCATCTAATGTAAAAATAAACTAATAAAGTATAATCACTCATCTAACTTTGCTCTGCTCCAAAATCCTTAAACAAAACAACGGCTAAAGGTTTGCTACCTTTGACTAGCACGTAGATAAAGAAGATGAACACTAAGATTTATTTAGAAGAGAGAAAAACAATATGAACCACAAATTTATTTTATTAAAAGTGAAATTGCAAGTTTTTTAGGACAACCAAATTAAGGAAATGGTAAACCTTTTAGGGATGGGGAAAGCAGATGTTTTTAAAACCCAATAAAAGGAGATTAAAATGTTATACGATCATGCATTGTGACATTGTGTTAAATCTTTCAATTTTCTTGATAATAGAACTCTACTGATTCTACTCTGCAGGGACCGGGCCCTAAAGCAGCAAATGAGTTGATAAGAATTGGTGGCGTCCTTGATGCTATTCTTCGTCATTTGAAAAAAGCGTAAGTTGAATTTTTATGCTATAATTTGCAAGTTCCTATAATACTCCAAATCTATCCGACCTTGATTTATTGGCTCACTTGTTGAGTAGATATATATATCTATTATCATGTAAGGTTTGCTAGAAGAAGCCATCTTTCTGAGGAGAATACGAGATGATAACACTGCTCTATTGAGGCATTTTCTTTCTTATTTGTCTCTCACATATTCTTCATGTTTATAGATTCAAGCCTTCAAGGTCCATTTGGACCCGTTACATACTAGGAAAATAAAATATAGATGAAAATGAGAAGGAAAGAAACATTCAGGGGAAATGAGGGATAGACACATACTCAATATTTTAGATGAATGTTTAACCTCTTTTTATATATTTAATTATATTACATAAACTTATAAAGAAAAAAAACTAGATATGAGATTTAATTTAAAGTAATCATATTTATTTTCCAAGGTGAAGTCAAATGTAAAGTAAACAAATTACTTCATTTTCATCTTCCATGATCCAAATGTACCCTAAATACACATCTATAGTTACCACAAATCTTTAAATGACCATGCAGTCATTTTATGGTGTTTTTTAATATTTCAGTCCTTTATTTATTTATTTATTTATTTTGGGGGACAACAGAGATGTTGAGTTGGCCACGGAAGTAGCGTGGGTTGTTGTGTATCTCTCTGCCCTTTCAAACTCCGCCGCCACAATACTCGCAAAGAGTGATCTCTTTCATATCTTAATAGATAGATTGAACACCACGAATAGCCTCCAGCTGCTTATCCCGGTAACATCATACAATATTTAACATCACTCTCTCTCTCTAAAACCTAAGTATTTATGTGACATTCAGTATGTCTGAAACCTTAACACTATTTATTGCAGGTCCTGAGGACCTTAGGTAATCTTGTGGCTGGTGATACTCTTGTAACTAATGTTACTCTTGTTGCTGGAAGTGAGATTACAGGCTAGTTATTTTCCATATCTTCCCTGTTTGTATATAAAAAAGAAATTTATTACGGAGTAATATTCTATAACTGTTTTGATGTGAAATCTGCCATATTCTTGGTGACTGCAGATGCATTTATTCAAGCACAAATAAAATGTTTGAAGAGTGAACATCGTATCTTGAAGAAGGTAAACTACTTGCGTTACTCTTCATAGTCTTGGAGTTGTTTGTGGCATGCATTAAGGCTCTATTTGGTAGCCCTATCAGCAGGATTACTGGGTTTAGGCTTACCTGTATCATGTTTGGTGTAACTGGTACAAGTGCTATTATCAAAAGTGCTTTCTCATTTAGGCGCTTAGAGCCTTAGAGTGATATTTTGATTTATGAAAAGCCACCATTTTTATGGTATTGTAAATAAATATCAATTGTTCTTTTGATGAAAAAAAAACACTTTTTCTATTTCCTGACAAACACCACTGTTTGAAATAAAACTACATTTCTTGCTACATGTTATTTGGCCAAAGTAAGTATATTATCAAAAACTTTTCCTTTCAGAAAACTTAACAGGTTCTAGCATTTCGTTCCAGCCAAATAACCGTTACCGAAGAGGTCCTGAAATTCATTTTTTCGCAGGAAGCTGCTTGGGTCCTATCTAATCTAGCAGCCGGTTCTTTCGAGCATAAGAAATTAATACATTCCAGTGAAGCTTTGCCAGTGTTACTCCACCTTCTTTCAACAGCACCATTTGACATTAAAAAGGAGGTGGCATACGTTCTTGGCAACCTCTGTGTTTCCCCAGGGGACGGTTCTGGAATGCCAAAGCTGATTGTGGAACACTTGGTTACCCTTGTGAGGAGAGGGTGCCTTTCCGGATTTGTTAATTTAGTAAGATCGGTAGACATTGAGGCAGCAAAACTCGGACTGCAGTTTCTTGAGCTGGTAAGTTGAGTTTTGGATAAGCTTTTGCTTTCTAGTCACTGTTGAGAAAGTTCCCTTTGCTCCCCTAGGTAAAAAAGAGCTTAAAAATCATCCTTCTTAGGCACTCGCCTTACTAGGTGCTCAAAATTGGCGTTCGTAAGGCTCTAAGCTTACTAAGTACCTACTAGGCGATCCGTAGGAGCTTCTAGGAAGTAGGAACTCAATGTTAATAACCATTAAGAGTCGCAATGTCCAATGAGTCCATCAACTAAATTTTTGCTCAATTTGGTCTTTCACTCTCTTTAAACTCAATCTGGTCCTCTCAATTTGGGCTCAATTTAGTTGTTGTGGATATCTCACTCTATTTGTTTTGTCCAATTAAAATTAGAATGTGTTCAAATTACGTACTTTAACACAGGATAGTCCTACATTGGATTTAAATCTAGTGGACAGATGGAAATACCCTAATAATTTAAAACTATTTATGTTTGAAGACTCTTCCAAATTGCATAGTCAGGGATTAAACCAAGTCCCAACACAAGTCGATAACCAAAAGAAGTTATGTACAGTCGAGAGACCAAATCAGCTCACCGTTTACATTGCTTGATTTTATGTTTGCCCAACCCGTGAAGGTTCTAAGGGGAATGCCAAACGGGGAGGGTCCAAATCTCGTGGAGAAGGAGGATGGCATCGATGCGTTGGAAAGGTACCAATTTCATGAAAATGAAGAAGTAAGGGGCATGGCTAATCAGTTGCTGGACAAGTACTATGGGGATGAGTATGGACTTGAAGAATAGTATAAAGAGCACTTATTAATGATGATGGGATTTTGATCTATTGTGTGCCAAAACTTGCCTCTATTGTACAAATTTCATTTATTTGGAGAGTTTTTAATGACATTGGTAGTAACATTTCTATGCAAATATGTATTACTGCTCTATTCTTTGGAAGGAGGGGGAGTGGGCAAAGCTTGGGAAGCCACTTATGAGTGAAATTTCTTAAGAAATCTAGTTTGCCTGCTGTCACATTTGTAAATACAGAGATAAATCCATTAAAATCAGTTCTGTTTGTTTCGAGGTACGCCTAGATTATGGATTCACCCCTTTGTACCATCTTTTGACAAAAATCCAAGGTTTTTGAGAACTTAGATTTACCTCAGAATTTTGTCATTATAACCAAGTTCTGAAAAATCTTCAAATCAATCTTTTGAGATGTTACGTTTTCTTAAAAACAAACAGTATTATTGAGATATTTTACATATATTCTATATATGTTAGTTTATTTTCCATTCAATCTCAGCCTTGCCGTAGCTTTGTAATTATAGTATGTGTATATTTTTTATTAAAGGCTGAGCTAGTTTTTAGGAGCCAACTCAGGAAACATACTTGTATATATTTCGGCAGTTTTCACAGCAATAGACAAGCTCTTTTACGCAAATTATATTCCCATTTTGGTATCAGAGAAGCGATATCAATCCATCGCAAATTGAACAAAATACTTCCGTATCCTACTAATCACCATGACTGGTGGAACGCAGTCTTCCCAAAGTCAGGTGTATGCTCTCAGTCCAAGTGATAACCCAGGGACGGTCATTACACGTCGTCCTGAAGGGTTACAATTATGAAGAATGGGCTAGAGGATTTCGTATTTCTCTTCGTGCTAAGCGAAAACTTGTATTCATCGATGGAAGTCTTAAACAGCCCGATGAAAACGCTCCTGAAATTGAAGACTGGTGGACGGTGAACTCCATGATCGTGGCCTGGATGTTCAACACCATTGATACTTCTCTCCGAAGTTCTATTTCTTATCGAGATGTGGCTCGAGACCTCTGGAATGACATTATGGATAGATTTTCAGTAGGCAACGGTGTGAAGATCTATCAAGTTAAATTTGAACTTTCAGATTGCAAACAGAAGAACAATGAGACAATTATGAGTTACTATGGGCGTTTAAAGAAATTATGGGATGACCTTAATGATTTCGATGCTCTTCCGTCGTGTACTTGCACCGGTTGCAAATGCGATTTAACAACAAAACTCCGGCAACGACGTGATGCTGACCAGGTGCGTGAATTCCTAATGGGACTTGAACCATTCTATGCGACTGTCAGGTCCAGTCTGCTGGGAATTGACCCTCTGCCATCTATGAACATGGTGTATTCCCGGCTGACTTAAGAGGAGGAAGTACGAACAATCACAGGAGGCCAGGGAGAAGGAACAAATCCAATGAGCTTTGCCGTCCGAGGCCATAATTCTGCCGGTCGTAATTCAGGGGGGGCCAATAGGTTTTCTAATAACAACTCTGTGGTCTGTACTTTTTGCTCTAAAACAGGACACACTGAAGAAAAATGCTTTGTCAAACATGGGTATCCTGATGGCTGGTTGGAGCGTAGACGCGGCGTGGGTAAAGCCCGCGGTCAGTCCGGAGGTGCAACGGGAGGATTCCAGAATGCTCCCTCTAACCAGCAACCAAAAGCCAAGGTTGCTCATGTCGGAAAGGCTGCTACAGATTTTGGTGATGTTCGTCTAAATGGTAAGGCAGAATACTTATGGATAATAGACACAGGGGCTTCACATCATGTATGTGGAAATGAACATCTGTTTGATACTCTAGTTGACATAATTCCCACTGAAATTGGGCTGCCCGATGGATCTTTTATCAAGGCTACAAAGATGGGTAGCATAAAGTTGAATGAACGACTCACAATCAATAATGTTTTGTTTGTGTCGGAATTTACATGCAATCTTTTATCTGTGTCTACTTTGCTTCAGGATGATAGATTAAATATTCAATTCACTAAAACTAATTGTGTTCTACAGGACCAAGTCTCGAGGACCAAGATTGGTGTGGGTGAGCAGTTTGGTGGACTCTTCTTTTTGGCGATGGGGGGAAGAGTACTTGTCCACAACGCCACGCAATTAAATACTGGTGAACTTTGGCATGCTCGGATGGGACACCCATCATCGCAAGTTTTGGATTTTCTGCCTCAAGTTAGTGGTCGTTCTAGCAGTTTAATTAATAAGCCGTGTGATGTTTGTTATCGCGCCAAGCAAACTCGTTCAATTTTTCCATTAAGTACTTACAAAGCTACGGCAAGGCTGAGATTGAATGGAAAATAAACTAACATATATAGAATATATGTAAAATATCTCAATAAGTATACATCTTGACCTCCAATGAACCAAACTGTTATACTATTAACTTGAGAAAACTTCAGAATTAAACAAACAATATCATTATATATGGATCTCTTTTCATTTAGTCTCACCCGATTTTAACCAAACTTAAGTTTACTCAAGCAGGCTTTATTCTTCTACATTTGGGACTGATTGCATCAGATTTCCAATAGTGTTATCAAATTCTTATGCTCTGGATACACTTCTCTTTGTGTTCTTTTTTACCAAAAAATTATGCATAGCTTTGAGGTTCACTAAAATGTATCTTTGTTAAGTTGATTTTTACCAAAATAATTTTACCATCATGGCATCATATTTACATTTGGGCACAGTTTTACCTAATTTTGCATTGAAAAGAAAATTAGTTACTATTGTTCGTATTTATTAATTTCACTCATAAAAAAATTCACTTGTTTTCAACCATTTTCCCTACTTTGTTGAGAGAGGATGCATATGTATGTATTTAGATTAGAAATGCTCAGGTCCAGCCGGAGGGACGGTAGCTGCCGCCCGAACTCCGCCGTTTGGGGCGGTTTCCGATGAATTTTTTTGATGAATTTTTTTAAGCATGTTCCCCATCAAGTCTAGTTTATCCACAAAAAATTCCAGCTCAAAATTCGATCGGGACGTCAGTCAAATAATTTTTTGAAGTTGACTGCGCAAAATTACACATAGAAAACGCAGTCAACTTCAAAAAATTATTTAAGTGACTTTCCGATCGAATTTTGAGCCAATTTTTTGTGTGAATAAATTAGAATTGATGGAGAACATGCTCAAAAAATTATAAGTGAGGTGCAACCGCCGAAATGGCGGGGTTCGAACGCTGGACGTGATCATTTTATCACTTCGTTTATTTTTCACTATATAAAAAACATCCAGCGAAAGAGATCGAGCTTAAACTATAACAGTGATGAATTTCTTCACGAAAGCGATATCAGCCCAATTCCTGCACGCATCTTCATCGTCAATCCCATCAACGAAACGCGTTCTCTTTCAAACCCTCGTATCCCTCCAACAATCTTCTTTCTTTACCTCGCAATCGAGGAAACCGAGAGTGACAAAGCCTAAAGAGCCCTCGAGGAATTTGCCCAATCCCCCGAAATCTGATAATGAATCGGTGTCCACACTTTGCCCCGAGCGTCCATCTGAGATTCCCTTCCACTCAAATGTGGCAAATTCCGTGGATCTGATCGGATTTGTCGACTGTCCTGTTCAGTTTGAGGTTTTGCCTCAGGGCAGGTATGTGGCTAAGACTGTTGTTACATTTTCTACACTTGAAAGCCGTGATCTGGATGGTTTTGTTGCTAGCTCACTGGTTTCAGTTCCCTCTGTGGCGATTCCGGTTGTTTTTCAAGGCGATTTAGCAGTTATGGTGAAATGTAGTGTGAAGGAAAATGACTGTCTTTATGTTTCTGGACAGTTGAGTGGAGATCACATGTCTTTCATGACACAAAGAAATCAAATGAATGTTCATCTCCTTGTCCAAACGATGAACTTTGTTGAAAATTTGAAGAGGAAGAAGCCTGTTGGAAGCAAGAAACTTTTTCCAGAGATTTCAGAATTAGAAAGTAATAATATAGATGATTTCTTTGATGAGGTGGAGGAGAAAAAGGATACTCCCAAGAAAGGGGTAAAATCTTTTCAAAGGAAGGCTTTGAGAGTTAAAGAATTCCAGGAATGGAAGAACCTCATCCGTAACCCAAATGAATGGATTGACTTTCGCGAAAGCAAGGCTAAGGGAATTTTGAACCCGAGACACCCAGATTTCAAGCATGTTCAAACACATGTTTCGCTTTGGATAGCCAGTGCACCAGAATGGGTGCTACCAGGACTTGAAGGTCTGGAGTTCAACAAGGATTCTCCTGTTGTTACTCTGGAGAAGACAAAGAAGGGTAAGAAGGAAAAGGAGATTGGAGCAGGAGAGGAGGAGTGTTGGAAGAGTTTGTGTAAGAATCCTTGGGAATGGTGGGACAACAGATCAAACAAGAAATATAAAAGCGCGGCAGATTTTAGACATAAAGATTCTGGTAAACAACTGTATGTGAATAAAGCGCCAGAGTGGGCATTGGCCATTTTGCCCACTTTATCTATGAAAGGTGGTAAAATTGCCTCCGCTGGTAAAGTGGCAACCATTTGAGAGGATGAGGTTAGAATAGAACTTAGAAATCTTGTCCCCTTTTTTCTTGCATATACGAGTTCCCTTCAATTATGTACTTGAGTCCAGCTATAATGGTTTACCAAATATAGTTTGTTTTTTCGGGTGGTTCTCGGACAGTTCTTATTGTTTTGGTAAAAACTTGTTCAAGTCTCCCTTTTACACCCAATGCTGTCTGGTCTGAACGAATAAAAATTAATTTTCAAACTTGTTGGTGGCTTACTTCTCTATCAAGCATCATGGTTGACGGGTAAAGGGAAAATCAAAGAAAATGATGGTAACGACTGGCGAACAAGGTGATATGAATCTGACACTATGGATAATGGTTGAATGCACTCTTGTGGCTCTTTACCCTAAACTTTCTTTTAAACTTGTGTTATGCATGCTCAGGAGTCAGGACCTGAGTTGAATTTGTAAATTTGTCTCCAACAGATCAAATGACTATAAAGTATTAACACCAATTACATCAGTGAATCCTAAGTGGAGGCTTCAATAGTTCATTGAACTTATTCTTCTCCTCGTAGATACACCCAAAAAATTAAAGAGACCTATATTCACAAACATGAGTGTCAAATCACTACATTTTGCAAGGCTAACGATGTGTTTTCACTTGGTATTGAATTTTCTTAATCTGGTCCATTTAAGTCTAGTATAAATTGGTTTGATTTGTTAAAAGAATTTTATATGTGTATTTTACTACTCCGTATTTACTTAGTTTGGTCTAGTATGTTCAGTATAGTTTGGACTGAAATTAATGAATTCAAACACTGATTTGGCCACCATATCATTGGACTTCCGCAATCATATTCCTGCCACCACTTGCCATTATTAGAAAGTACTCCCTCCGTCCCCTTTTAAATGGGACGGGAGATGGTGGCACGAGTTTTAAGAAAAGTAAGTTTGTGTGGTTGATATCAATTGATAAAGTAAGAATAAAGTAAGAATGATTTTGAGCCACACAAAGTTTACCAAATAAGGTATGAGGCAATTAAATAGGGACATCCCAATATAGTAAAACGAGACATTTAAAAGGGGACGGAGGGAATACTCCGTAAATAGTAATGGTTCCATTCTGAAAGAACATTGTTGTCCCGGAATTACAAATAGTGCTATAGCCTACTATCAATACAATGCTAACATAGTGAAGTAAAATATACGGAGTAAAAAATATCATGATATCAATACAATGTGGCAGTATTATTGTGAAAATAAGTTGACATTGTTCTAACTTTGTATGATACTATTGATGACTTCTGAAATGAAAACACATTATCAATTAGCCAAATTTAAGACCATGGTTGGTAATTATTAAATTGGCTGAATTGACAAAATGTCAAAGTTATACGTAGTATGAAGTTATGGTTGAAGCAAATAGAATCAGATAAAGTTATGCGTGGAACTGGTTGGATCTGAAACTAATTATTTCATTGATGAGAAATACAAGTCTACAACATATAAACCATTGCGATACTTTTATTTCGCCTACCACAAAATCCTCGTGGTGTCATATGGCAATTTGAGTACTTACATCGTCAAAACACTCCCAAACAGTGAAATCCTGAGCCGCTTTATAGCAAGGTATGCTTTGCTTCTGGACAGCTGTCTGTTTGGCAATTCAACGACCGTAGATCTTGGGGTCCACACTTGCGCTGATCTCGAGGCTGTCCTCGCCATTGCCTGACTGTCCGATGCGCAAGGCACCCCCCTAGCTAGCAGGGCAGAGGATCCCAATCCCAGTGTGTAAACACCTATGTGAACCAAAATATAATGAAATGGACACAAGATGAATGAACCAAAATCGAACCCCAAAAAATGTTACCAAATTTTGCCGGAATAGTGTTAGAAGAAAAAGAAAAACAAACGGTTGTGGATCACCAAAAAGACAAAAATGGTAAGAGAAAAGAAAGGAGATTAAGATTGGTTTGGTAACTTTTTATAGTCATTTTGTTATATAATAATAATCAAAATAAATAAGGTTGTTGAGGTTACTTTATAGCTGAAGTAACCGAAGGTATTGTAGATGACTATTGTCACATACTATCCTCCGTTCTTTAATTCTTGCAACAATTTGACTTTGCATTTTGTCAACGCACAACTTTGACAGTAACTATATTTAATTATATTTTAGTAAGCATTATACAAAGTTGATATTTTGTAAAATCATATTGATAGAAATTCAATAACATGTTATACGTAATAATTTGATTATGTATATTAGTATAAAAATGTGGTCAAAGTAAGGCCTTTATTTTAATATATAAATATTTTCAGATGCCCTAGTTTTATTAAAAAATTATTTTCAAGCGGTTTAGCTAGTTTCAGGCTATGTTTGGCACACAAAAGCCTCTAGTTTCTAGCTTCTCTACTCTTTAAAAAGACCTTAAAAGACTCTAGTTATATGTTTGGCATGACATTTTTTAAGAGCTTTTCAAAAATTAAAAGATCTTTTTTGAGATGCTACCGGGTGTAGCATCTGAGAAAAGCTCGTGACTTTTAGTATTATTTAGTCCTAACAACTTGTATTCCAAACCGAATTAAATCAAACAGACAGCTTTTTACCAAACAGCTATCACATTTTCTTTTTAAGATCTTTCCAGTTACTAAAAGCTAACCGCCTAACAATTACTAGAAAGCTCACAAAAGTATCTTTTCAGCTAGTTGAGCCAAACACACCCTCAGTGTAATCAAATGGACTCTAAGGGGTGTTTGGAACTGATTCTATTTCTGCTTCTTTTTTAAAGCAGAAGCAGAATTAGTTTTCAGAAGCTGATCTCACCAAGTTTCTAAAAAAACCGATTGTAGGAGTACATAAGAGCACTAGAAGTACTTCTGCACTTTCACCCAAACACTCCAACTTCTGATTCTACTCTCTGAAGGAGCAGAAGCAGTTTTAAGAATCGGATCCAAACACCCCTAAGAATATTTTCAATTCGACTATTTTTAGCTTCAAATAATCAAATAGGCTAGGATCAAATTGGCCCTAATCATATTAAATTTGGACAAATAAAAAACAGATTAACCCAACGCAATAACAAATGCTCATACTAGTACGACATTTATCCACTACAAAAAAACACGGGATTGACACAAAATTTTGGCACGGATTATCGATTTTTCGTGCCAAATAACTCGTGCCAAATGTTTTTTGCAAGGATTTGGCATAACTCCTGCCAAATATTTGAGCAGACTAGACTCATGAGATCAAATCAGGCTAATTTTTTTGAATATAAGTCATAATATTAAGTTCATCAAAAAATACTCCGTTAGTAAATTTCTCATGAAACGAAGCTGATAACTCCTCAAATCTCGTATATCTTGCACTAACTAACAGAATCCTACAGAAATATATCTACGGTGCTCGGAAAACAGTTGTGTTCGGTGAAGACATTGACGGAGACCAACTTTGCAGCGTCAAAGTTGTTGGATGGTGATGAAGAAGATAGTGATTTATCACCAACAATGCTTTGCTGCTTGGCAGTTTTTTTTTTTTAAATTAAAATACATGCATTTGCCATTAGTTTTTAAGGTGTGTTATCATTTGGAAGCAAGTCAAGAAACCGCATAAATAAGATCAAAACATCTTCCAAATATAGGATGTTTTATCTTACATATATTCTTACTTAAATAGCTAGGACGTACTAAACATTATATTTTTACTTTTAATATTATCTAATCTATCTAAAAAACTTATAAGACTCAATCAAGGTTTGGGTACTTTGGGTATTAAAAAATGTTGGTGAAACCCTGTGTTAATTATACTTGTGCGTCAAGCTTTAAGGCTTGTGCTATTAAGTAATATCTTGTAACCGCAGTTTCCCCTGTTAACGTTTAGCCCCTCATAGATCTACTGCGCTCGGTATATTCCTTCACGACTGCGGAATTCTTCAACATAGTAATGAAAACAGAGGTGGATGAACAGTAGGTCGAGACAACCGAGAGCCGGAGGCCGACCAATAATCGATGGAGGGACTGAAACAGTGGCTGGCTTCCAGGCGAGCGAATGTTTCCAATAGGGAGGGCTTTCTGCTCAGCTGGCCAGGCGCGGCTGTCTTCCGCGCAACACCAAAGATTCTCAATCAGGATAGAAATTCCAAGACGGCGTCACCTCAGGTGGTCAACTCGTGCTCGAGGCCAGCTCCGCTACTCTGGATTCCAGCCTCTGAACCAGCATCTTTGGAGTTTTCAGCCACATGGGATAAATCTGGCAGCGCTCGTCGGGAATGGAGAAATCTGGCCAGCGCTTTCACTTACCTTTCTTTATTCAATTACACAATATATTGAGGTGAAATTTCTTTGCAATATACTGTGAATCTGTGATTGTATTTTAGTGTTGTAGTTTTGCTGTTAGTGACTTAGTGGAATTTGATAAACTCAATTCTATAGTAACCAAAAAAATTAGTTGACTGTGGGAGTTTAAGTGTTAAAGTTTTATCGCAGAGCCTATTTCCTGATTACAGTTTTATGTTATTGTATTTCAAAACTTACATTTCAACGCAATTACGATAATAAATGATCCCTTCGGTAGGTTTTTACACACCCATAGTGTACCCTTAAAAGTTTTCTGGATTTAAACTTTAGTAGTGCTTAGCCAAACTTGGAGCTTTATTTGAAAATGAAAAGCTAAATGAGGGGCACAAAGCACTAATTTATTAAAATAAAAAGATAAACAACCAGTGTCCAGCTAGGTAGTTTGAGTTTTAGGTTCTTTGGTTGCCATAGACAATAGAACTCTATGTTTGAAAATAGTAATATTATTTCAGATGATACCTTATCGCTAATTGAATAGAGGGTTGACCCATTAGTTTAGTAATACATACTAAACTTTAGCAGTCAATTTTTATTACTTTAATAATCTAGATATATGTATTTGTATATGCTTAAATGTAGCTGCAGGTTTGACGTATCTTTAAGCCTTATTATGTCCATAACAGACATAAACAATAGAACTCTGAGTTTGAAAATAGTAATATTATTTCAGATTATACCTTATCACTACTTGAATAGAGGGTTGACCCATTAGTTTAGTGATACACACAGATCACTTGAAAGAAATTACTAGCATTCTAAATCTCTTATACTAAACTTTAACAGTCAGTGTTTATTACGTTGAAAAACTAGATATAAGTATCTGTGAATACTCTCCCACTTTCCTATCAACCTGGTGTTTTTAAGCAAAATTGTGCTACCACTAAAGCTTTGTGCTTTGCTTCTTCAACACTTGTAAAACATTAGGAACCAAATAACCCGAGTTTGAACTTACTCCTATTTCAAACTTATCCAAATCATTCTCCATTTCTTGTATAAGGACTGCTTGTCATTTTGACAATTTTGCGTGCCTTAAAGGTAATAAAAATGCTGGATTATATTTGGTCATCAATATCAATTAAGTTACAATTCCTAGAATCTGAGAAAGGAAGACTTAAATGAACAGCAAACATTTAAATGAATGGAAAATTGAAGTTTCTAACCCTCCTTTTGATTTCGTATTGATTGTGTGTGCTATTGATCAATTTATGTTCTTGTGTCAATTTAAATGAAAATGGTACCATTAATAGGGACGGTGTTTGTTCATTTGCATTAAAATTCAGTTGTTTTATAACAGTTGACTTCTACTTCGCCAACATGTTTATTGGGCAATCTATTAAAATAATGATTTAGTCACTTGGAATCTTCGTGACAATCATTTTAATGTACCTATCGAGGATCATATTAATGCATATTGACTCGATCAATAATAAATTTTGACTTGGACGTACAATAACAAATCTATATATGCAATAATAATACAAACCAATTGATCTAATCAACAGAATATGCTATTTTTTGGGCAATTGGATGGAACTGGGCATCATCCTAATCGCGCATCGCGCGACACAAAACTAGTTAATTAATAGAAATGGACTTCCTTTACAAGATCACACTAGAGAGAGGAACCTAACGGCCGTCTCCCCTCTTTGTAGGGCTGATATTTTCCGCCGCCTCTATCAATGGGGTTGGGACAGCAGATTATACTTATTCTAAGTGTTCTAACGCTTGTGATTGCAACTACGTCGGAGGAGATATCGTTGGCGGATGAACGAGGTGCAGCTGGGAGGTTGTATCGAGTCTGGATCGTGAAGTCTTGGTCGGCCATTCCGGCGGTGGTGGAGTTGGTATTCATCCACATTACAAGAGCTCGTTCTTCTCCGGAACCACCTCTGCGCCAGGAAGAACTTTGTGAAAAGATTTTAGTTCAGTATTATTTTCTCCTTAGTAACAATTGTTTCTGTTTTAGTCTGAGTAGTTTTGGTTTGAATGTTCGGATTCTTGGAGTTCTTTTGATAGACAGGGTTCCGGTTCCGATCGTTTTTGGGCCTAAATTTGCCCGTTTCAGGTTTAGCGAGTCATCTTATTTTGTATGAGGTGACTGACTCTAAGTCTACTTCTAGGGTTCACGATTGGATCTGTAGATTCTGTCTGAATGTTCTCTTATATGTGTTCTCGATTTTAATATCATGGTCGCTCTTTTATGATAAAAAAAAATCACACTAGTTATATTTTTTAAGGAGAAGCTAAAGCCTAATTAATTTATGAATTTAAATTACGATACTCCTACTCTGCAATGCTAAAAATGCCACGTTCGTTGCACGGAATATAATTTATTTTGTGAAGTATTAATAGTATGTGTCCGACAAAATGTCTACATAGTAAAAGACCATAAGGCTAACCGCAACCCTCTCCGTCAATAAATCTAATTCCCCACTAGTTTATACGTATTCACTCAGTCAATCCAATTTTTCCTTACAACCCAGCACCGTCAATATATTAACCTAACACGGTGTTTTTTAATTAAATGCATTATTCCTTACTTTTAATATTACACATTATTTACTTGACAAAACTTATTTGACAAATAATTTTTATTTAAAAAGTTGAACATTCTGATGTAAAAAAAATAAATTTTTTTATTACTAAAAAATTCATACTAAAGTTTATTTTAAACTAAATTCCAATTACCAATAACAATTATACTATTATTATATTATACAGTATTAATTATTTCCTATATTACCATAAAGTTTTTTATTAAATGGAGCAGCAGACCCTTTCTGGCAACCAGAACTTCTAATTTTTTCTTCTTTAAATAGAGCAGCAATTACCCTTTCCGCAACCTAGTCGCACGCCTAGCAACTGGCAGCACGCACCAATAGCTAGCCGCATAGAGCTCTGCTGATGATCAAGCGCGTTGCTAACAAGAGTGGGCCAAGCTACTGTCCGAATTGCTTTATCATTTGAGTGGAGTGAATAAGGGTTTTGGCTATTCACTCAAGGAGTGCCCTGTATTCACAATCGCACGCATCTATACCTTTTTTTCTTTGGGTTGCAGCACCATTGAGGGTGAATAGCTCAAATAAGGCTTTTTCACTCCTACGGTTGCAATCAGCCTAAGGCCAGTAAAACAATTGTAACTTTGTCGTGTAATAGAGTCAATATTCTATGATTGCAATACAAAATTTGAGCCCATTAGCTAGGTACTATCGAAATTGACTGAATCGGTTGATTCAGTTGAAATTTATGAAACTCTGGTTGAAATGGCTGGATTAATCAATTCTGCTGATTTATGAAAAAATATTTAAAATATATTTTATTAATAAAATAAATAAAAAACTATATGAAAAATAGTTAAATTGATCCATAAACTTCATAATTCAAAAAAATAGGTCACCAAACGGTTCTGAATTACTAATCACGTAGAACCCGTAGGCATAAGATGTGTACCGTACAATTTTTGAAACTCCAAAATTATAATTATTCTATTTCCTACTTTCTTTTTGGTTAGCTCAAATATTGTTACCAATGATCAGGCCATTATAAAATACAAATCAATATACAAAGCATCCCATTTATTAGGAATATATAAACAAATTAAAACTACAAAACTTGTCGAAGCTTCATTCAAATTGAAACAAACCTACTACTGATCAATTCATCTTCTTCCACTTTTCCTCTTCACTAGCTATTTGGTGCTACGACTAATAATGTGTAATGATACATTGATACTACTACTAAAATCCACATATACATCTAACCTCTATGTCTCTGTCATCAACTTTAGGTATTTTATACTTCATCGTTCTTAAATAAGTGCATTATATTGAATTTTATATCATTTACATGTTCTAGCTAGTTTGATTACACTTTATTTACTAATGTTTTAATAATTTATTCATTAAAAATATTGTTACATTACATTTGTCTCATAGTAAATTTTCAAAATATATATGTTTTTTATTAATAGAGAATAATATAAATTAATTATTAAAGTCGTGCATGGACAAGTGGACTGTTGTACTAATTTAAGAAGTGAAGAAGTATGATATAATGAGATAAAATATATAAATAAATATTACCCGGCCAAAAGCATACACGTACGCGCCTCTACAATATCTAAAGGCTTTTTCAAGCTAGGATTTCTCTTTGTCTAGAATTTTGAAATATTGTTTGACAAAATTTATAAGGTGGAGCATTCTAATAGTGTATTTAAGAATATGGAACACTTGCTGCGTGTGATCCTATTGGGCTGTCGGGCTGTATGCGTGAAGTAGGCCGAGGGATAGTAGAACTGCTGGGAGAGGTAGGCCGAGGGTTGGCAGGGCTGTATGTGGTGTGTTCAGGCCGCTGCTGTTCGGTTGGGAGAATAGAAGAGTCGACCAAAGGTGGTGGATGATGGGAGTTTAGCCGAGAAGGTAAAACCGAAGGCAAGTGTTCCAGGGGCACTGTAGCAGTGTTTTCAGATTTAGAAGAAGTAAGCTCAGTATAAGGAAAATAGTTTTCATGAAATCTAACATTCCTATTTATGTAAATTTTACCGGTAAGAGGATCAAGATAACGGTAACCTTTGTACTCAGGAGCATAGCCTAGAAAGACACACAAAACTGATCGTGGAGAAAGTTTATTTGCAGATGTGGCATTAAAATTAGGAAAACAGGCACACCCAAAAATGCGCATAAAAGAAAAATCTGGAGAATGATTAAATAATTTTTCAAAGGGAGAAAATCCATTTAAATTCGGAGTGGGTAGACGATTGATAATATAAGTAGCAGTAAAAACCGCATCAACCCAGAATTTAGCTGGCATTTTTGCTTCAAAGAGCATAGTGCGAGTTAATTCTAGAAGATGGCGATGTTTTCTTTCAGCCACCCCATTCTGTTCAGGAGTGTCAGGACAAGATTTTCTAAATAAAATTCCATGCTGAAGAAAAAGATTACGCATACCATGATTATCAAACTCACCCCCTCCATCACTTTGAAAAATTTTAATTTTAGTATTGAGAAGATTTTCAGCCATCGTTTTAAAATTAGTAAAATGTTTCAGAACCTCACTTTTATTGCGCATAGGATATAACCAAATAAACCGTGAAAAATCATCAATAAATAAAACATAATATTTAAAGCCACTATCAGACAAAATAGGAGACTGTCATACATCAGAATGAACTAAAAACAAAGGGGCAGTAGATTTATGCCAAACTTCTTGAAAAGGTAACCGTTGAGATTTTCCTAACCGACAAGAAATACAATCATGGGAAAAATTAGAAGTACTAAAAATAGAACCAGCCTTTTTAAGTTTATCTAGAATACGACTGCCACAGTGTCCCAACCGACGATGTCAGACAGGTCCCGGAGCAACATGAGTAGCTAAGGCAACTGATGATGGATGAGGCAAGGAAATAGGATAAACGCCACCTTTATTAGAAGCTCTAAGAAGCACCTCCCCCGAATTGTGGTCCTTAATGCAAACAGAGTTTTTATCAAAAATCACAAACCAATTATTATCGGCACATAATCTTTGAATGGAAAGCAAGTTATATTTGAGATGAGGAACATGAAAAACAGATTTTAAATGAATAGGGCGCGGCGGAGAAGATAAGGCTAAGTCACCAATAGTCACAACAGGTAAATGAGATCCATTTGCAACCGTCACGGCTAGCGGTCCAGAATAAATAGATTTATTTTCTAAAATACCTTCAGTAGGGGTCATGTGAGCGGAAGCGCCAGAGTCAGGATACCAAACAGTGGAAGAAGATTCACCAGTTGGGACAGCTAATGCGGGTGTAGATGGTTGAGGAGTTTAATGCTTTGATTGATAATCACACATGGGATTTAGTTCCGTTTAATCATCATAAAAATGTGGTTGGGTCTAAATGGATTTATAAAACTAAATTTAATTCTGACGGGTCTGTTGAACGACATAAAGCACGCTTAGTAGCTCAGGGATTTACTCAACAGGCTGGGGTTGATTTTTCAGAAACTTTTAGTCCTGTTGTCAAGCCTACTACTGTTCGTATTGTTTTATCTTTAGTGGTTTCCTTTGGTTGGACCATGCGTCAATTAGATGTTAAAAATGCATTCCTTCATGGAAATTTGACCGAGGAAGTTTATATGCGTCAGCCGCCCGGTTTCATTCATCCTCAATTTCCTAATCATGTTTGTCGTCTGCGAAAGGCAATTTATGGTCTTAAACAAGCCCCTCGGGCCTGGTTTTAAAGGTTTAGTAGTTTTCTTCTGACTCATGGCTTTATATGCAGCAAGTCTGATAATTCTCTATTTATTTATCGTCACGGGTCATCTGTTCTCTACCTTCTCCTCTATGTGGATGATATTATTATTACTGGTGATGGTATAATTATCCCAACCATGGATAAATGTTGACCGGGTTAACATGGATGAAAACAGTTAGAGGTTGATGTGCATGGTAACTATGCACGGATGATGACAAGGTATAAGAAGAGCTCGTACATGGTGACCATGCGCGGGTTAGAAGATAAAATACTGTACATGACGACTGTGGACGCAAGTTAATAGAAGATCAGGGACTACACATTGACCGTGGATGTCGGGGTAGGCTTATCCAGAGAGCATGTCCACAGCAACCATGGACGCGATCAAGTACCTTAGCAAGAGGAGCGTCCACAATGACCCTGGACATAGTAGTAGAAGCTTATCCAAATAACATATGCATGGTGTCTTTGGACGTTATGCCTACATGGTGACTCCGTACGGACAAACTACATCAATGACGTCTTTTCAAGATATTTACACAATCAAGTGAATCAACAAAGGATCCCGCGGATCCGGATTACTGATTTGCATATCAAATCGAACATGGCGATCACGTCGCCCAAATCTTTTATGTCTCATTTTCTACTATAAAATCATGTAATCCTTGGAATGTTGATAAAGCTCAATACACTGAATACACTACATACATTTATCTGTCTAAAGATTATCCTGAGCACTTTAATTATTTTCGGCTATCTCTTATTAATTATTTTCCGGTGGATTTACTTCCATCAACTGGTAATTCCCCTTCCTTTATTTCTTCATTTATTTCCTGTCTGGGCCGTTACTTTGCTATGAAGGACTTGGGGGATTTACATTTTTTCCTGGGTGTCCAAGCTGTTCGTCTCTCTAAAGGTCTGTTTTTATCTCAACAAAAATATGTGTCTGA